TCCAAACTCTATTTCGGAAAAGCCATTCAAGAGTCTACCAGTGCAGATGTCATCAATTTCATGTGAGAAAGGGCCCAAATGTGGAAGAGCCCTTCCTTTGACTTATTCTTGGTTTGTTAAGAGGGACATTGTGACTTGTAAGATGCGTACTTACAGCCTAGGCGTGAGAATTGACAATTGATAGTGTTTGGACTATTTACAGCTTCAAAGACATGGAAGTGGAATGCACTTGAAAGAGGAGAAACCAAGCTTTGGTCCAAATTTCTCTACATATTATGTTAACAAATTAATGAACACTGTTTTGACTATTAATCCAACAGAATTGACTTGTTTATTATGTTTACTAAGCACCTAGTATATTTCAAAACATCGTGATGAATGTTACGCAAAAAATAAATAAATAAGAATAAAAGTAGTTAGTATTTATGAATTTCCACCATGTGCCAGTTACTGTGGTAGGGGTTTACATAAATTATGGCATCTAATCCTCATCACCCTCTGAAAAAGAGACGCTATTTACCCCCTTTTTTCAGGAGAAAAAAAAAGGTTTAGGGAAATTGAAGAGCTTGTCCAAGTAAAAAGCTGGTATTTAAATCTTAGCTCTAATGGATTCCACAGACATGTCCTTTCCATTTATCCACCCTGCTATTCAAAGAATGAGATTTAAATAAGAATAAGACTATTTTTTCCAGAAGTCTGCTATCTAGTTGGTATATACATATGTGTGTGTATACGTATGTGTGTGTGTGCGTATATATAAAACAATATAGCTCACATTATATGAGAGGAATGGACAAGTGCTATAGAAGTTCAGATAACTCTTAGTAACTAATGGCATTTTAAAACCAAAAGAAACAGATTAACATCTGAGTTGAAAACTGAATACAGGCCATGAACAGCCAGTTTCAAGAAGAAAAGAAAAATGGACAATAAACATGTGCAGTAACGTTAGAGACAACTTGTCAAAAAAACAAAATTCACACTCAGTGCTGATGTCATTTTTTTAGCTCTCAAATCACTGAGCTCTAAAACATGTTAAAACAAAGTTGGTAAGTACGTAGAGAAATAAGCATTCATTCGCTACTAGGAGAGTGTAAATTGCCATAGTCTTAGGTGTGGACATGGGGGAAATTTGTCATTTGTCATATTTAGTAATTCACTTCTATTTATTTATGTAAAGGAAATAATAAGTACAAATAAAAAGTCTTAGCTGTAGGGATGTTTATTATAGAATTGTTTTAAAAGAAAAAAATTGGAAAAAGCACAAATGTCCACAAAAAATGTGCTCATATATAGTAGAATAATGGAATACTCTCTAGACCTTAAAGTGAAGTTCTTGGGGCCAGCCCCGGGGCATAGCAGTTAGGTTCGCATGCTCCACTTTGGCAGCCCAGGGTTCACCGGTTTGGATCCCCGGCACAGACCTATGTACCACTTATCAAACCATGCTGTGGCAGGCATCCTGCATATAAAGCAGAGGAAGATGGACACAGATGTTAGTTCAGGGCCAGTCTTCCTCAGCAAATAGAGGAAGTTTGGCTGCAAATGTTAGCTCAGGGCTAATCTTCCTCAAGGAAAAAAAAAAGTGAAGTTCTTGAGAAATATTTAAGAAAATGAGGAAAAATTCACATTTTATTAAGTGAAAAGGAAGGTATAAAATGTTATGTATCTCCAGATTCCAATTTATACTCATAAATATAATTAATTCATCAATATAGACATATTAAAATGTTTGTAACTTCAAGCAACAAAATGCCAGGAGTTTTCTCTAGGTAATAAGATTACAGATAATTGTTTTGTTCATATGGTGTACTTCCTTCATTTCTCAAATATTCTTAAATTAAAAATGTATGTATATATTCAATTATAAGTTTGATAAGTAGTACATTTTTAAAATTTGACAATTAATAAATAAAAAATCAAATGAGAAGACAATCAAAGACACCATAGGAGCTAAAATATTTCAAGTAAAACTTCCTGGAGAAATAAGATTTCATTTGGATGTCTGGGAATGCTGCCTAAGACACATAAAAGACAGTATAGAGAGACATTCTAACTAAAGAACAGGCTCAACAAAGGTAGGATATTATGAAGGATGCTTATGAAACTGAAGACAGATCAGCCAAAGCCAAGAAGAAGACAGAAAGAGACTGCTGAAATTAGAACGCTCCTAGAAGGAGAATAAATGCAACCTTCCTAAATATCTACCTTAGAGGACAAGGGACCTTGGACAAGCAGAGTCCAGGTGATTATCACCAAGGTGACTTGTGCACTCCTATATCCATTCACTCAATGATTTATTCACTTAGAAAATATCTTGAGGGGCCAGCCTGGTGACACAACGGTTAAGTTCGCACGTTCCACTTCAGCGGCCCGGGATTCACCAGTTCAGATCCTGGGTGAGGACATGGCACCGCTTGGCAAGCCATGCTGTGGTAGGCGTCCCACATATAAAGTAGAGGAAGATGGGCACGGATGTTAGCTCAGGGCCAGTCTTCTGCAGCAAAAAGAGGAGGATTGGCAGCAGTTGTAAGCTCAGGTCTAATCTTCCTCAAAAAAAAAAAAAAGAAAGAAAGAAAATATCTTGAGCGCTTACTATGCACCAGGCCCTGTTTTAGATGCTAGGAAATATGAATGACTCAAACTGAGGTCCCTAGTCCCCTATGGAATTTGCAGTCTAGGACAGAAATAATCTTATAAATTTTATTCTTCAATTCCTTTCCTGAGTTCCACCCAAAACCCCAGAGATACTCTAGGATCCCATTCTGTCCAACTGTAATAAAATAATCTATGTCTATGAAAGTTGTCTATTTGTTCATTGGAAGGGAACTTCAAGTTTCATCATGTAAACGAAGTGACTAGGCCCTGATTTTGCAGCCTGATATATTTCCATCTCACTTATCTCGTCCCCTCTACATCTTCCTGCGCACCTCTTAGCTACAACCTGCTTCTCATTGGCCTCGCAAGCAGATCACGCCCCTCCAGTCTGAACGGTCCTTCTTCCGTATCTACCATTCCAATCCTGCTCATCTTTCAAAGTCATATCAAATGTTGCTTTCTTGATGTGCTCAGTCACACATAGTCCTTCCCTCATCCAAACTCCGCAGCCATTTTATTTACAGAGCTATATTTGACTTTCTCCTGAGAGCTGTGCAAACCCCCATATTCACAAGTATTACTGTATTATATAATTCCTCCCATGGAGTGCCGTGGAGGACAAATGAAAAATTTAAGTGACCCCATAAGACCCTTAATGATTCTCTATTCACAGAATTAAAGTAATTTATAATACAATTAAAATAAATTCCAGCTGGAAAATCAGCTGAAACAGCTTTACCAACTGACTTATTTAGTCACTTATTCATTCATATTGTTAACGTAGAGAGTGTTTTTTAAACTGGGGATTGCAAACCATTAGTGGGTCATAAAGTCAATTTAGTGGGTCACAATCAGTATTAAAAAAAAAAGAAATAGAAAGAGAGAAAGGAATAGGAAAATACTAGAGTATATGACCTACAGTACATGCAAGTATTGCTTTATTGAAAGATCGTTTCATTTGTGTGTGTGCATATGTTTATTAGTTGTGAAGAAAAGTTATTTTTCACATACATTGTGGACAAAGAAAGTTTGAAAGCCACTTACAGCTTGTGGTACATTCCTGTCATATATCCAAACCCATAAAGGAATTTGACATGTTACTTCTCAAATTATCCAACATTTCCACATTCTGCAAGCAACTGCATTTTCTTTGACTGCTTCGCTTTCTCCTCACATTCATCACAAGCACTATCATTGAATTTCTTTTCAAACATAAAGTTTTTATCATTTAATGTGGGCTGTGAGCTTAAGGACCACGAAGAGATATAGATCCTGAGATGTCAACATTGCCCACCCACTAGATCAGAGATCTGGTTCGGTTCTCATCCCAGCCCCCAAGCCTCAGCAGTTCCATCCAGGCTTAACCAAAATAATAAAGTATCCTGGTCTGTGGATCTTCAGGGCCTGGGAACAGCTGTGGCTACAAATATTGAATTTTCCAAGATGTCTGGTGGAACTTTTCAAATTATACTTATAATATATGCCCAGGTCTGGCAAATGAACCCATTCAGGGCAAAAGACTGTGTCTTTTTTATATTTATATATCTAGCCATAACCAGAACTGGCTATAACGAGTGCTTTGTATTTACTGAATGAATCACACTTGGGAGAGACCCTAATTGAAATAGAGATTAGAAGTTAGAAATACCTTTTTGCACATTTTCATCCATAGAATCTAGTGACCATGATTTTTAAAAAAAATGACCATTAGCAGTTTCTTGATTGGCAATATCTAAAAAATTGTGAAACTGATTTGGAAAAGCTAAAACTAGAAGACAGTATCATATCACCCGCTCTCTGTATAATTCCATTGCCCTCTATCAAATCCTTCTTTTCCCCAAATCCTTCAACCTTAGCAAAATAAGAGGAAATGGCCTCTAAAACATTTCCTCCAGTAAATTGATGTCTTAGCACTACACGTCAGAAACTTCAGGGAATAAACAACGCATGTGGGAAGAAGGAAAAGGCAGTCTTATAGCAAGTCGGTTGCCACTTATAAGGCACAGTTATGTCTTAGACTTAGAGACACTAGGGTGTGGTTACTGAGAACTGGGACTGGAGAGTCAGACCAACCTGGGCGTGCATCCTGCCTGTTCTGCCACTTCCAACTGTGTGTCCACTGGGATAATTACTGTAACTACATCCAAGGGTTCCTGCATGGATGAAATCTAATACAGCATGTTAATTATGTAGCATATTTACTGGTACATAGTTCAGCTCAACATAGGTAGCTATTATTTTGTTGTAATTACTATTATTACTGTGCTCTGAATTTAACAGTGATTCCAACAGATGTATTCTTCAAGCCAGCCTCAGAAGACCAATATGAAGACCCTATGTACAAGCATTTATAAGTATTAACATTTCTAAAGCATCTTTTTACATAGTATTTTATGTTTTAGAATGTGCCTGCCAGAGTATACAAAATATACTCAGAAGAGGAATTCCACTGAATCAGGAACTTCTTGAAAAGAAGGGAGTAAACAAAAACCAGGAAAATTAGCAAAGGTAGCGATAATCATCCCGGCAGAACTGGCAGTTTCCAAGTATTTAATTCACTGCAAGCAAGCATCTTCTTTACTGGAAAAATGTACTACAGCCGAGGCAGAAAATGGAAAGGAGAAGCTGTTAGCTTCATTTCACCTAAAACAAGGTAAAATGTCAAAATGGCACACTGGGCCTGTTTTCCAAAAGCCCCCTACAGTTTAAGGTCTTTTACCCCCTGTTTAAATGGGCTGAAGTGTTGTTGCTAATCCAGGAAAATAGTTAAAAAGAGTGTATTTTAATATATAGCTTCAGCCCTTAAAGAGTGAGGGAGCTTTAGAAGTAACCTCTGTGGTCTAATTGCCCAGGCCTTAGAAGGACTTTCTGCGATGAGGCAGGGAGCGGATAGTTGCATCATGCCAAGGGAGGAAGTTCTTTGAATACCAGCTCCCCAGAAGTGCAAGAAAAATGAAACATGTTTCAAGCATTTTATTAAATGCATCACCTGAGTCTTTATTGGGAATTTTCAAAGCCAGGATGCAACATAGCAGGTTACAAACTCCAATATCTAAAGAAGTCGACAGATAAGTGGTTGGGTGTAAGTGGAAATCATTTGTGATTATTTGATTTATGCCTATTATAATTTGTGTGCACTTTTATTTGCTCAAAACATACTTGAGATACCATTAGCAGTAGCATTTGTAGCTTACTAAGTAATCACACTGAGAGAAAAAGTGTGAGAAAAATCACACATCTTCACAACATGTCAAGAAAAAGAAAGTTTCTAGCAAGAAAACTCTATCAAGCTGAATCACTTCAACAAACAAATGCCAAAAAAAAGTTTAATTAAAAATAATTTCATGATTGGACAATTAAATGAATATAGACAGGACTGAAGAAAACAATTAAAGATGTAGGACGACCAGAGAGTGGCACAGTGGGAATTCGTTACCACCTCTAAGCTTGAAGGAGCAAGGAACAGAAAAGGTATTACTAGACCCAGGACACCTGGAGCCATAGAAGGGACTAGCTGGTGGATGCAAGGGGTACAGAAGAGCAAGTGACCACCAGCACCAGAGCAGAGCAGAAGGGCAGGCAAGGGAGGAATAAACATTCTACCCTCTCTCTCCTCCCACTCTCCAATCTCTTGTCAGTGCCGCCCATTGGTCCAACCCATCCAGACACCAGAGGGCAAAAGAGCCTGTGCTAAACAATACACAGGGACCAGTCATCCTGGGACAAAGAGCAGGGGAGAGAAGGACAAGATATATCTGGTGGAGGCAACCTAAGAATAACCAGTAAACCCACCCGCCATTCTTTTTGTCTACAAGCTGCTGCAAGAATTAGATTGACAGGAAAGATCTTTGTTTCTCCCAATAAATCAACAAATATTTTGTCAAATTAAGATAACCTGAGATATTCACACTGAGTCGGGTCTACCATTTTGGTGGACTTGAGCATTTGGTTTATCAAACAGTTTATTTAACTACTTTATTTCAAGGGGTTTACTGGTTGTTTAATCTTTCCCTTTTTGGTGTTCCCGTAGATACTGCCGCTCCGTTACACTTTCAAAGATACTAGAAGGTTTAAACTTCAGTGTTCCAGAGATCCATCTGGGCTCCAGGGCATTTCTCCTGAAGATGCATATTACACTGGTAATAGAATTCAGGAGTTAAGGCCCCTAGACCACTGTAGCGCATTTCATCAGCCAGGTAAGTGACTTTCCCCTTTCCTGTTGCTTGAATGGGCAGCCAGATTCATGAAAGCACATTATGCCCTTCCCTGCGGCAGAGGTATGCTACTAAAAAAAAAAAAGAGAGAGAGAGAGAGAAGAAAGAAAAAGACTGACATGAAAAATGAAAGGTACTTAAACAAGCAGGACCACTGGTGTGCTCTCTAAAAGATAGATGATTGCAGTGAACATGATGTCTGGAACTGTAGTTTGCCCAAATTAAAGTGGAACATAAAAATAGGGAAGGAAGCAATCTAATTTCCATTTAAAGTTGATTTCAGTGGTCGCTGTACAATATTCTTTGTCACACCTTCAGGTGATGGACCTGCAGTGCTGCAGAACTGTGGTAATTCAAAGGTAACCAGGGGCAAGAGAAATATAGAACTCACATCTGCCAAAATAGATCTGAGTGTGGAGCTGGCCAGAGAAATGTGGCAAGAAAAACGGCAGGATGCAATTATGAAGAAGTAATGGGTTGCAATTAACGACGCCTGCCTCATTTCCTAAATGAGGAGGGGGGAAGTTTTCTTGGGTTTTCCTCCACGGAGAGCTGTGCGAGGATGAAGTTGGGCAATGGTTGTTCAATCCCTTTTGACTCTTATGAAGTCAGTGAACTGCTTTGCCATTTATATTTCAAAAGAAAAATTGTGTCCTATTTATATTCTCTCTAAGAAGAAAAATACAGCTTTGTTTTACTACCTAAGCTAATCATAGATCTTTCTGTGTGAAATCATGATAATTCTGGTTTTTTACTGACTGTGACAGATTTTGTCCCAGAGAGGTGAACAGAGCACTGGCCTAGAAGCTAGGAGGCCATTGATCATCTTTGTCCTTGTGATGATGAGCTGGGCATCAGGCATCAGCCGTGAAACGGAGGGTCTTTCAGCCTGGAAAAGTCTCACTCGAGAAGAGGGGCTCAATGGGTCCTCACATCAAACTCCTCTCAGGAAATGAATCATCATCCCTGTGACAAAATTCAAAATGTCGCCCTAGTTTCTGCCTTTCACATTTGCCCACACAGACTTCTCTGACTTGGTTCTGTTCTCCTGCTAATAACACCTGACCGCATTCCTCTGGCTTCACACCCATTCAGTGGTTTGAATTTAGCATTCTTTCACATGTGTGATTTGGGGCAACTCATATAGTCTCTGGGAGATCCAATTTAATCGTCTGAGAAATGCAGACAATTACAGTATCATATAAAGCTGGTGAGAGAGTTAAATGAGCTAAAGTAAATGAAGTAATACAAACCATAAAAGAAAAACTTGATAAATTGTATTTCACCAAAATTAAAAATTTTACTCTTTGAAAAGTGGTATTAAGAAAATGAAAAGGCAAGATATATAATGGTAAAATATTTGAAATACGTTTAGCTGACAACGGAATTGTATCCAAAATATATAAAGTGCTCACGCAACTCAATAAGAAGATAAGCTACTAATTTACAAAAGATTTGAACAGATAGAAGATAAAGGAATGGCAAATGATTATCTGAAAGATGCTCAACATCATTAATCATCAAGAAACTGCATATTAAAACCACAATGAGATACCACTTTACACCCATTAGAATGTCTATCATCAAACAGACAGAAAACACGAAGTGTTGGTGAAGATGTGGAGCAACTGAAACTCTCACACACTGCTTATGGGAATACAGAATTATACAACCTCTTTGGGAAAACTTTGGCAATTTCTTAAGAAGTTCAATATAAACCAACTATAGGTCTTAGCCATTCCACCAAAGGGATTTACCCCTAAAGAAATGAACACACACAAGGACATAAATGTGAATGTTCATTCCAGCTTCATTTGGAATAGCTAAATACTGGAAACAATCCAAATGTCCATCAATAGATAAATAATGGATACACAAAACACAATATATCCATACAATGGAATACTACTAATCTATAAAAAGGAATGATCTGCTTATACACACAATAAAATGAATGAACTCAAAATCGTTATCCTGAGGGAAAGAAATTAGATACAAAAGAACACATAAGGTAGTATTTCATTCACATAAAATTCTAAAAAAATGCATACTAATCTGCAGTGACAAAAAACAGATAGCTGGTTGCTTGAGAAAAAGGTAGAGGAAGGAATGGACTACAAATGTTCATGAGGATCCTTCTGGGGATGGTGGAAATATACTGTCTTGATGGATGTGGTAGTTTCACAGATGTGTACATCTGTTGTAATTCATCAAAGTATACACTACTAATGGATGTGGGTCATCATAAGTGAATTACAGCTCAGCAAAGTTGATTTAAAAATAATAAAATAAGTGAAGTGCTGAGATCTCAGCTTGGCTCAGAGTTCTAAATATCAGCTGAATATTATTCTTATTCTCTTTACCACAGTAATTACTATCACCCCACCATTGACATCTGATGCTGCCCCATCTGTGTCTGATAGCATGTCTCAGTTCCTTCTTGTGTACAATGGCTAGGATAGTAGTATTAGGCCAAGAGCAGCCCTTCCCGAATGACTTAATAAATCCCTCTCCCTCTTTAGAAGCTGGGTGAGAGGACCAAATGATGACAAGTTACATGAGAAATTATACTATAAATATTGGATTTTATAGTTTTATTATTCTTTGCTTACTCATCTGATGCCCCCTCGGCAAGCTAGCACTGTTCACAATGAAGGGAAAATAAACGGACCCGGAAACCATGAATCCCAATTTCCTCTGCCCTTGTTATGGTTCCACCTACCACTAGTGTCTTAGAATTGGCAGATTTGATGGGTAGGAACAGGGTTTGACATTAAGTGGCTCTGGATTCAAACTTCAAGTCCACCACTCACAATCTGTGTGGCCTTCAACTACTCAACAGCTGTTAGACTCAGTTTGTCATATATAAAATGGGCATAATAGTTAATACCTGATATAGTGGTTGTGAGATTTTAAAAAAAAGGATATTGTGGAATATATTGCACGCGTCTTGGGTCTAGTAAACCCACAGCTGACGGTAGCTCCTCTTATACTCTGCCCTGTGGGCAGGTAGCATGTGTGTTTGTTTAGTCGTTGAGGGGCCAACCTGGAGACATGGATCCATTTACACCCAGCAGCAGCAGCGTATATTGACGTCTTCTCTTTACATCCGATTTCCCGACTCTCTGCTTGAGAAGCTGTGTGCTAAAGGTCAAGGTAGAAAATGGTCTCACTCTACGTTCTCCCCTCACATTGCAGGTAATTCTCTCTGTCCATGTGCTGTTAATGGTGTGATTATCAGTGCTGGTGGCCAATCACGTGACCTAATCATAGCACTAATTCACCCTCAATTCATCTCTCTCAACAGCTCCAGATGGCATCTGAACACTCATTGGTAATAAACAGGGAGATATTTAAAATTTTTTTAAAGTCTTCTTTAATCTACTTGGATAATTACCTCAAAAATAATAATAATTCTGAATTCTCTCCATAACCCATATGGAAAACCCTAAAATCATGAAGAAGAGAGCTGCTAATTAGCTATTTTCATTTTACCTAAAAAGAACAGGACCAAAGACATTCAGTCAGGAAGCTGAAATCACATCTTCAAAAGCAAGGTTGATTAAGGAAGAAGGGAAGCAAGCATTTAGGGGCTTGCCGAAAAGAAGCAGGGACTGAGGCAAATGTTAATGTGCAAAACGGGCTGAGGCAAATGATTCAAAATCACCCTAAATTTAGGGAAATAAAGGGGGAAGCTATTTGCTTCCTGTAAGTGAAGATCTCAAAGCATCAGTTGTGTCATTACATAGGATACAGATAGGAATTCTATAAAGTCAAAGGATATAATGAGAGTGTTATATTGTTTTTAATAAAAAGAATTTGACTTGCCCTTCATATTGCTTAATCTGCAGAAATGTCAACATTTCATTAGAAGTGTTCAGTCTCTTTAAATTAGTGATGGTGGCAAAAATGTTCCTGTTGCTCCATGAGAGGTAAAAGGAACTATTATGGATCCCTCTACAGACAGAGCCCGGGTCTTGATGGATGTCCTGCAGAGTTTTAGATACACCCACCAGGAAATGCTTTTGTGTTACATGTGGATGCATTTAATGGAGCAAAGGAAAATGGATTCCTTTCAGGCACAGAAAAAGCGCTAAGAAAATGAAATTGGGCTAAAAAGTTAGGATTTATCAGACTCTTGTCTTTTCCAAATCAGAATTACATCATCCTTATGAAAATGTTAGCAATGTAGCTGAAGAAAGGAGGATAAAGTAAGTCTTTCAGTATTTAATAACTTCACTCTAGTTAGAGAAAATTCTCCTGTGAAAACTGTAGAATTCCTCACTCACATGAGTTTCAAAGTTTATTTATCACGGCATTTGCAATCCTGGGACCTCAAAAATACAACGACTGAATTATGAGGCCTTATCATGTCTGTAAAGTGAGATGATGGTTTTACTGTATTTTAGGTATCATAAATCCTAAAATTAATAAGAAAAGTAGTTGTGTAGGGAAAACTGTTATTTTTGCCTCTTTGTTGTCCATCCCCTTTATTTGAGGAGCAAAACCTGGATTTTCCATTAAACCACTGCTATCTTCATATGCCCTGTGCCTGGTCAGTCAGAACATTGCATCCTTGGACCACGAAATAGCCACCACATGGTAAGAAGCTGCTAAAACTGAAGCTAACATAGGGTAAGGCAGACCCAAGTGATGGAGAGAGAAGCTCCAACGATGTAATTTGAGTCCCTCCACCTAACCAGGCCTGAAGCTGGGGCACCCTGGACTCTTGTTGCAGAACCAATAAATCTTCTTTTGCTCAAACCAGGTTGAGTTGATTTCTATCACTTGAAACCAGAAAGAGTACTGGCTAATACAGGAATGCAATTCTCATACTTTGAAGTTGCATATAACATCTAGTAAAGAATGCTCAGTTTTCTTTACTTGAAAACATGTGAAAATATATCCTGATTTTTAATTCAGTGTCATGGCTCTTCCAAGGAAAAAAAAAAAGGAAGGGTGGATTGAGGAGATGTTAATGAGCTAGTGATGATTAAGAACTAGAGATTTTGAAGAACCTGGTTCTTTTATAGGCTGAGAAGGGCTCTAGGAAATACATTAGACCCAGAAGGAAGATAACTTGGAAAAATTTTATTGCTAATAAAATCTTGCTGAATTTCCATAGGCACAACTGAAAAAAGAATCTTTGCTCACAGGAATAGAACCTATAGGAAGAAAAAAATAACAAGATGACATTTATGTATTTCTTAATGGTACCATTAAGTCCCCCCAAGTACTTATAGGAGGGCAGTAATTCACTGGGATCTAAAAATGTGCAGTATATTTGATTAACGGTCATGCAAACATTAAAATGTTTCTCCAAAAACCTGTCTGAGACAGAGAAATAAGGATGACCAGCTCTTCTCAGAATCTTTCAAGTATACTTGCATTATAAGCTTATTAATGACTCTGGTGGTTCAAGTTTTCCCTTAAGCACAGGTAGGAAATATACAGCAAGAGGGCGAAAGCTGAGAAATATTATTTTAGGCATCCATCTTTGTTTTATGGGCTGTCAGAAAGAGTCCTTGCAGCCAAAGCACAAACGACAGCACACTTCCCACCTTTTGCGTTAGGCAGAATGGAAAACGTGATGGTTCCAGAGCCTGTTACAAGCTCTGGCCCCTGCCTATCTCTTCGTTTCCTGCTGTACCACCAGCCAGGCTCTTGCACACTAAGCTCTAGCCATATTGAATTGCATGCACCTCCTCAAAGTTTCCTTGCTGCCTCTTACTTGCAAATTTCCCCATCTTTCTGGCAAAGGCCCTTCCTAGGACACCTGCACCCCCATCAAAAACACTTCTTTTTCACCTGGGTAAACTCTGTATTTTTTCCTCTGGGAAGCCTTTCTTGACTCTCTGGAACTAGATGAGAGGTTCCTGATTAGCTCCAGAAGAGTCCTATATTCTGACCTGAAATGCCCCAGTAGTATTCATTACAATGTCTTCTACTTGCTCGTTTACTCTCTATCTCCCATGCTAGACTATAAATTCCTTGGAGGTAAACATGTCTGTCTCTCTAACCATTGTATCCTCTGTTCCAAGAGTACAGATGCTTAATTCATGTAGAGCGGATATTCAATTAATGTTTGGATGCTTATCTCACTTCCAAAGCCCTACAGTGCAGTGGAATAAAGCTTGGCCTCACTCCAAACATGATCCACATCCTGATTCAGCTACTTACCACTGTGGGGACTTTGAGCAAGTTCTTCAGACTTTCTGAACTTCTTCATCATTAAATGGGACGTATATTCTCTCATCACAGTAGTGACAGGAAGATTAAATTAAATATCATGTTAGCACTAGTAAACCT